TATTATAGCAACAATATGTATTCATTCTTATTTTGTTTTTCAAGGGACAACATTTTATTTTTATGTCAGGTCATTTTTTTAACCTTATCCACGGCACTTGTTGCCAAAAGGCCAAAAGTACACTTCTGTTCTAAATGCCGTCCTTGTCCTCCCACACTCGGTAGAACGAACTTTCTTGTGTACTAGCCTAGATCATATTCGTCTAGTACACAAGAATGTATTAGCGTCCTTGGGTATTGAGAAACGCCTCATGTGCTGGGTACCTCGCACTCGTGGACACCCACCCCAAAGAGCGCACCCACAAGGGTATTTTCTCAGTTGTAATGGAACAACACCTGAACCGTGTGGAGTTGAGCTGAATCAAGTCAAGCTGCGCTGAGTAGGTACTAAAGAAACTGTGACTTAAGCGAGGCCATCTTAAAAAATGAAACCAAACCAAATCCTAGTGGTTACTGCGAAACAGTTTTCATAAACTGTTACATTATCATTAGTTTTATGTTACTATGAGGGATTTATCCCCTCACTAACAGTCATGTCTTCTGTTTCTGTTTAATCCCATATTTTTTGGGTGTATTTTAAGTCAAATTCAACTTGGTAATCTATGAATTATTAAAGTTGATTTAGTGGTGATCATCACTCCATTCCTTCTGAGGTCAATTGTTTAAGTGTTGCCATGGAAACGCGCCCATAGGCAGACCTGATCAATTCCTGGTGTGCTTAATAAGGTCCACTGAGGGACAAACCGACTGACGGAAGAGAGAGGGAGGGGAGAGGATGCTAACATGTATTTGTTTAAATGTAGTTGTTGTTTTTGTTCTTTTGGGTTAAGTTAGGATGTAAATATGTAAATGGGTTGTTTGAATTTCAAGGATTTCAAGCTGACTGTTGTCCCTGCCCACTTCTCAATGATTGGTTCTTACGTAGCTTTAAAAGTCTGATTGGTTTGTCTCTAGGGTGGTTGGTTGTTTGTGAAGGGGAATCCATGCCCCACTGTCATGGAATTTTTGCAACCAAAAAGATAAAAAAAAAAAATAAAAAAAAAAGTCAGAGCTCTGCAAAATCCTGCACTCTCTTTACTTCTGGTGGTAGCATCCTGAGTCAATGACGAGTTAAAGGTTCTGACTGAACCCAAAACCTTACAGTTACCATTATCTTCATTTGCAGGAATAAGTTAAATCAGTTGCAGCTTTGATGTGAATATGAGGACAATAAACAAAAATTCACAAAAAGACTTTTACATTAACCAACAATGGTTACATTTCACCGCAAGTTGTACTTAAATGACAAAAAAAAAAACTTTTGAATCCAAGGAATTCTTTGAAGAAAACAAAAACCCTCCTTTGAAACACACTTGAAAAGAGCTAACATATTCCTTTAATGTCTTTTTAATTGTCAAAGCTGAATCATTTAACCAGGGTTCTTTATAATTGTACTAATTTACCTCGGTAAAATGTTCATTCATTAAGGTGGAAGTAATCCTGTCGCCTAATCCAGGAGCCAGACTAATCTACAGATAAACTGCTCATATCAAGAGGCAGAAAGCAGGATTGTGAGTGATCCTCATAATCCAGCCATTTGCTAACATCTAACCACATTTCTTGTAACATAAAGTTTATTAGGCTTTTAAAAAAAATGCGACCTGTTGTATTTTATCAACTTTAAAACGTTTCAATGTCAAATTTCCACCAAGCATTTTAGACGTTGTATCAAATGGATCTATTCTACACCATTAAACCTAATAATAACATAAATGACAATATCTTCACATAATAAATCCACTTTCAGATTAGATGACTAAAAGATTTTCTTTCTGTAATGAATCTGGGTCACTTTGTTGTAGTCACAAAGGCACATAGTTAATATTCCAATACCCTGGAATTTCTGGAGCTTTTCACCATAACATGGCGTGTAGAACCAAATCCCCAGATTCCATAGAATGTCATCTGCTTTAACAGATCAGAGTGCATAAAGCAAGTGGGCATTCATATTTTTAATTAACTCCTGTGGAGACCCAGCCTAGTGAACTAGACCAAATTCTTGCTTTGCAAAGTTTGGTCTAGGCATGCTCCATTGGAACCTCCGCAGCTCCTACCAGGACTCTGGCTAGCCAATCACAGCTCTCTAGAGGGGTTTCAAACACATAAAGAGCTGTGATTGGTCCATAATGGTGGGCCAATCATAGTGCTCTATCTGCTTAGTGAACAAATCACAGAGCATTATCTGCTTTGTGGGCCAATCAGGGCACTCTATATGCCTGGTGGGTGGGATGATGCAACAGAGTGAAACAAGAGTATGTCACATTCTTTGTCCGGGGGAATGCGGAGATCATTTGAAAGACAACGGTAGAACCCGCCCCACAACCGAGAGCCGTCAATGGAGCGTTGCCAGACTAAATAATACATTTATTTAGTCTAGCTTGCCAGGCTAGTGGAGACCGTATCAGGCCCTGAACGGTGCTTACTTACGTATGTGAGCCAACAAGAGTGTCTACAGCTCTTGCTATGTCTTGTTGCACACTGTTGACAGTCTTTGAACACACTTGAATGATAGTTTCTTGGTACTAGAATAAGGAAACTATTTCCCTAAGCTCTGACCTTCCTCTGATTCCTTCTAAGGCCTAGTCCACACGTAGCTGGGTTTCTTTAAAAACGAATATCCGCCCCTCCAAAAACTTGCATCCACACCACCTCGTTTTAAAACAAAACTCTGTCCACACGTACCCGGATAAATACGTTGTTAAGGACATGCCAGACCTGTAGGCGACAGTACTTCCCCCTTTCTTAACCTCGTCCTTCCTCTGTGGTCTTCCGCAAGGAGCAGTAATTCCGCTTGCAAAAACAAACAAGCAAAAAGCGCTTGGACAATTGATAAAGCGAGCGCAGCTCTGAGGGCATCCATGCTGTCGGCTAGTGTAAACACAGGTCGCACACGTGATGTCAGCATTTTTTTGTCGCGAAAAGTGACGTTGCGGACCTTAAAACTCCGGTTTTGTCCGTCCACACGCAGACACCCAAAACGGAGAAAACGCAGATCTTCACTTTGGCCGGAGTTTTTAAAAAGATCCGTTTTTGTGTGAAAAAACTCCGTTTTCGTGTGGATGACAGGCCAAAACGTAGAAAAATATCTACGTTTTGGCAGATCCCCGGCTACATGTGGACAGGGCCTAAATAGAAGAAAATGCAAAGATTTAAACTTGGACTCACTGAAGTGGTAAATTCGACTGTTTGCGTGTATCACAAATTTCAAAGCTTAGATTGCCTATGACACAAATATTGTGCAAATTTTGGGTTTCAATTTCTTTGCCATTTGTGTGACTCTGAGGTGTCCCATTGCAGTTTGCACCTGTCTCCGATGTGGTGTAAATAAATGATCACCAACCCACGTCCATAGATGTGTCACCGTTTCTGTACTTTCTGATTGACAAGAATCAAACTGCAATGAGTTAACTCAAAATGTCCTGCAAAATCTTTGATTTAGCTTAAAATTCCAGCTACTCAAGAGTGGTACCCTGAAACTCACAAGAGGAATTTGAGAACCCTTTGCAAATATTTTTGGAAATGCCGTTTCTGTGTTTTTTGTTTGTTTTTTGGTCATAGCATTCCAGTGAGATCCTAGCTGAAGGTTTGAGAAGTAATCACACACAATCAGTCTATCCAATTAGTCAGAACTTTGGGGCCAATATTTTTTAGATCTGCATCCTAGTTTCAGTGCATCTGCCACTCCTCTTAATTTCTTGAGAAAGACAATAAAAAGGACATTTTCAAAACTCATATTTGCATTCTTTCATGCTGCCATGTGTGTCTTTACTGCCTCTAGAAACACTCCAAGCAGGAGGTTTTAGGAATGATGTGCTTATAACAATACATTTTAAAAAGTTTTTTTTAGTTTTAGAATAGAACAACCTCTCACATTAACCCTCTGGAGGCAGGAGTTGCAGATTTGCAATGTTAAAACCTACCTGGTTACTCAACATACATATTTCATGAGCATGTTTTAACTCAGAAGTACCCCTGAAGGACTTAGTTGTTCGTCCTTTGATCAAAACTTATTTTGAGCCTGAGAGGGTTAATGAGAGAGCTATTTCTGGGGGAGCAGCAGCTCTTTTCCAAGCCCCTCCCAGATTTCTGAGTTTCTCAGCCTATGGCAATCTGAGCAGGTGGGTGTGGCCATCTTGTTTTCTTAAAGGGACAGAGCCCTGAAACGGCTAATTTTGGAAGGTACTGAAACCGTCAAAAATCAAACTACTGAAATTGCTTTGCGTGAGGGGGATTTTAGGCAAAAAAAACTTGATGAGTGTTTTGCATAAAGCATAGAACTGTCATAACATTAGAAAAAAAAGTCACAATATGTCTCCTTTAAGGCCAAACAGAAAAATGGACATGTATGAATTCTGAGGAAAGTATAGAATAACAAAAACAGTGTAGCTCTGGGATTATGAGGTCTAAATGGTCACTTGTTGTTTTTTACAAGTCACTGCTCACCCTGACCTGGACACTTGGGAGTATGGTCTGCTTCTCCAAGTGTAAGGAATGGCAGGCAATTCATGTGTATCAAATTTCAATGTGCATTTGCCACTTTAGCTTGAGTGTGTTTTTCTGGTAAAGCATCCAATGAAGTGTTAAAAATGTTATTAGTAGCAAGATCATTTGGGTGTTTGTAACCTGGCAACAACCGAGCTGAGTAAAAAATAAAAAAAAACTTACACACTGCTACCAAAATGCTCCAGTTGATGCATCAAAAGGTTCACATTGCAGCAGCTCTAACACAGAATGCAACAACACCCTTTTAATAGTTGTCTTTCGCAGAAGTCTATTTTTTACACCTACAAGTGCTTGTGTAGTTAGCTTGGAGACACACGTCCTGATATGGTTAGCGCTGAACCTAAACAAACTCTTAAATCAGGAGCTTTTCTTCTGGGTTCAGCATGCTACTACCAGCAGTAGAAACGTCTCATTATTAAGGCTTTCACCGAAACATATTCACATAAAGCACAAATACACTTTTACCTTTAAAAAAAGTTTAATTCAAATTTGTCCACATACATACGCAAAATATAAAGTATAAACGATGATGTAGACCTACATTTATATGTCTCATATCACCCTCAGACACACCTCACTCTAATTTCACAGCGGACGGAAAGCAGACCGACTTTGGCCGAAAACCCCACATGATGGTCCTGTTCACCTGCTTGGTGGTGAAAAGCAAACATGGCAGAAACAAGTGACTCCGCAGGGCGATTTGAGGCTGGTGTCTGCGTCCTACATAGAAAACAGTAAATCTGAACGGTTCTGTTTTGCTCTTGCTAAGTAGAAAGCACTGTGCAAATCGGAGCTCAGACAGCGGGTCTAATCCTAGCTTTTTGGGGAATTTGCAGAAGTAGTCATCCTCCATGATCCAACGCTTTCCTCTTAATGCCGACACAAGAAGACACAGGAAACCTGTAAATGCACGCGTGCTCTCCAATGGACTAATGAGCAAGGAATGCCAGTTTGTGAGCTCATCAAATACAAAATCCTGAAAGTGACTGTTTATAAAGTGACAGGTAAACTCTTGTACACCAGCAGATTTTCTAAAACTTCTTCCAGTCAGCAAAAGGCAAAATAAATACACTGAAACACACCATATAAAATAAAATGTAACCTTACTATGTATAAAAACAACGGTAATGAAAGTAATATGTATCATATATCAAGTATGTTTAATGTACAAGGATACAACTTAAAATTAAACCTAAAAACTGATGTAGTTTTTCAACATTACCACTAGATAGCAGGAAATATCCATGCTTGGGTTTCCCGTTAAGAACTTGAAAGGTTTGTTTTTGTTCAAAGGTTCTGATTGTAAATTGAGTTTTTTAAATCCCCATCATTTCCACTTAAAAAAAAAAAAGCGTCATTCTTTGTTTTAGTTCCCCCTCAGTCCCACTTAGCAGCAGCAACACACACTGAAGTAATCAGTTACATTCTCGTCTAGTCTCTCTGGTATCGAGCCTCCTGGTACAAAGTGGATCTAAATGAAGTTAACGTAGACTTGCATCAGCGCAGTGGCCTTAAAACTGTCCCATGCTGTCATAAACCAGTGTCTTCCTTTTTGATTTCTCGCTCCACATCTTCAGGTTTTAGTCCCTCGGTAGACAATCCTCCTCGGTGATCCCCTGAGCCCTCAGCTCTTCCAAGACATTTTCCAAGTGTCCTGGGTCAGGGAAGCCATGACCCGTGAGGTTGGATCCAAACTCGGTCTTGTGATGCACCTCGTTCCAGATGACAGTGTCGGATTCTCCGGTGGTGCTGGACGTCCCCACGGAGAAGATGAGCCTGCGGTCCCACGCCACCAGAAGAAGTCGCAGGACCTGAATGAAATAATAATTATTTTCAGGATGTTGCTGAGAAATCACTAAAACTAGGCAGATGATTGAATTTTTCAAATATACCTTGCGCCCCTTCTCGCTGTCAGGAAGGTAGCAATGTCTGGGGAACCCACGTGCTGTGAACGGTTTTCCTGGATTTGGGTGCTCAGGACCCTACAATGCAAAATTGTTTAAAAATTTATTCCATAATTTCCGTATAACTCCATAAAGCCTTAAGGTTGGGCCACACAGTGCGTTTTTCGGCTGTCGCAAAGGACCGCTTCAAGTCTCACTGTCGAGGACTCCAGAGTGGTGGCACACTGCATGATCCAAGAGTTCAGTGATGCACAATGTCTTGCTCTAGCAAGACACGCTGGCGTCATGAGCTAATTCGCCGAAAAGCATACGTTACTAAAAGCCGACAGATACCCAAGACAGCAACGATGAAAATAGAAACAAAGGCGCTAGCGTAAACACTTTTGTTAGACAAAAGAAGTGGTCCATGTGTACTTGAGTGTAGCCTCCACTGTTGCTAATGTTGCTAATGCTACTCACCCATTGTACACTCATCATTAATTGTTCGCGTCATTCCTTGGGTGCATTTTCATTGGTCAGAGACCAGACTGAAGTCAGAGCTTTCCTGATGCTGCTTGAAGACTGATGGAGGCTGAATTTGGTCGCTGGTTAGGTCACACTGGACCGCCACAGACCTTCAAATCATCGTCACGTTCACCGTTTTTTGTCACGATTCCTTTCACAACAAGGAGTTTGTCTCGGACGGCCAAAAAACTCACAGTGTTGCCCAAGCTTTAGGATTAGGGATATCAGCATCAATATTGGTATCGGCCGATGTAAGTCATTTTTTAACATATCGGTATCAGTCCGATAAATAAAACTAGGCCGATAACAACCAATATTGTTTTCCATCTTGTTTCCATATCTGTTTCAGAAGGTGAGGGGAGTGATGTGTATTTTTTTAGTCATGTGACAGTGACTGTAATCATCTCAGAAGCACAAATGTGTGTGGTTTTCATACATAATAACGTAAATTCAGCTTTAGTCATTTTCATTTGATGCAAAATCTGCTGACTTTAGACACATTGATGTCAGTATATCGGTTATCGGCCATAACAGTGATATTAACACCAGATATCGGTGCATCACTATTTAGGATACTACAGACTCTACCTGGATGCCAGGAGGAATGTTGTAGATGATCCGGATGGTTTTACAGTCAGGATGTCCCGGCAGTGAGTGGGGGATGATGTGGTACTCCATCTTGCCCGGGGGCTGGTTGCCTGTCTTGACTCCATAGATGGTCTTGCAGGTGGGACACTGAAGGCTGCCGTCCTTGTTTCCATTGTTGTACATGGCGACGAGGCACTGGAGGTGGTACTGGTGCCCACACTGAGCCAGGCGGCCCACCGACTCGGCCCGGGAGATGCCACCCACTCCAGGACCCTTGTACCCCGATGGTCCTGACAGCGCCTCCATACAGATGGTGCAGTCCTAAAATGCAAAGATGGGTCCAGTTAGCATTTTAGGTCCAGGGATTGTTTGTTTTATTGTTTGGTTCTTGTCAAAAGGGGTTTTTCAGGAACTTCATCAGAATTCCACCAGTAAACATGTTAATTACATCTAAAAGTGGTGAAACGCTAAAAAGCAAATTATATCACCAGACTAATTTATTTATACATACAGCATATAAATGATGAAATCATAGATAAACTTCCACATGTATAGAAATGTTCCCCTGGACTTTTACGCTCAACCAAAAGATTAGCTCACCCTTCTCAGTAAGACTAGCACTTAAATTTTACTTGTTTTAATTTAAATAAAAGAGCTAAAAGTATGTGTTTATGTTAATGAGGTCCCACTGAACAGTCATACTGAACAAACCGCAAAGGGAAATTGAAAATGAACAAGCAAATCCCAAAAATAAGTTAGTTCTGGTTCATCCCCTAAAAGGTATTTTTAATGCCTGAATTATTTAGTTAAGTTATTTAAATAAAAACAAATCTTTGCTCTGAAAAAGTTCAAATACTGGACCTCAAATAGGTGAAAAAGCAGCCAAAATCCAAAGAAAAGCATTGAAATGCCTTCAGAAATTCTGACAAATTATATATATATGTTATCATCCATCTTCTTTAAAGTAAAAATTGAAGATATTAGATGTGCTTCCAAAAGAACTGACCTCCTCTGGAGGATTACGGACTTTCTGAAGGTAACGCTTTACCACTTCCTCCGGTGTTTTACCTAAGAAATAAAAAAAATAATACCAGTATTGCCTGTTTATGAGCCACCCTTACTCTATGTGCACTGGTTTTTGTTGCGGTGAGCACTAACACACCTTTACGGGCCTGCTTCTTCGTGGTCTTACGGCAGCAGTGGCCCAGGCCTGGCACAGGTTTGATGTCGCTCTTGCTGACAGGTGGAGGATGAAGCACCAGCTTGGGAGGGCGGGTCAGGCAGACAGGAAGTCCTGCTGCACTCATCAGGATGCCTGTAATACCTGTGAACAGCCGGGGGCGGGGGGGAGGGGGGAATTCTAAACAGTGATTCATTCAAAACTGGATTTTGTTGTGTAAAGACCAATAAATGTCCTAATTCTGATAAACTAAAGAGGCAAAGAATGGAGAAGTATGTGTATTTTTACCTGCCAGGGCGGGATGTACAGGACTGGATCCATTCAAGTTCTTCACGGGAACCGTTGGCACTCTGAAACACAACGAAATCAGAATAGAACTCACTTCCGTGTCACTGACATGCTAACAGAAATTGCCGGATTGACCCAGTCGCCTCAGGCCAGACTGAAGGATCTAAATCTGATGAGTCACCTGTACTGACACACACACACACATACACAAGATGTGACGCTCCACTCCGGTTCAGAACACGTCACCAGGTTAAGAGGCTTTAGCCGAGTCGTGAACAGCTGTTGTATGGAGCTAGGATTGGGACAATATTCAGTGTAACTTGTACCAAGTAACTTCGAACATGTTTCATCACATGTAACTTTGGATTCGTAACTTGTAACTTTAGTTTTCTAACTTGTAATTCTCACTTCGTACTTGTATTTCTTGTTTTGTAACAGGAACATTGTATTTTGTACATGTATTTTTTATTTTGTAAAATCAAACTTTTATTTTGTACATTTACTACTCATTTTGTAACATCAAACATTCATTCAGAAACATGAAACTTTCATTTTGTAACTAGCAGATTTCCAAATTGAAAAAATCAAGGTACAAGTTTGAAATCAAAACTCTCAAAACACACATTTCATTCTACAGGTACAAACCTCAAATCTACAGTGTTACGAATCATTTTGTCTCGATTCTAGCGTCAGTGGGAGGAACTTGGGTGGAACCAATGAGAGCACGAGTCTTAGCTACCAATCACGTTTCTCGAATTCCTGTCCAATCATTGGGAGAGGAGGGCAGGGTTCTGTCGGAGCTGTAGAGAGAGTTATGACCGACATGGAATGCGGGAGTCACGTGGTTCATGTAGCTTCGAATAGTTCCAAACAGCCCCGCTGCTGCATTGACTGCAGTTCATTTTCGGTGTTTCGGAAGGATTTTCTCCGGTAAGTTGATGAAATGTCATCATTTTGTTGCATTGTGAAGCGTTAGCTAACCGCTTCGTACCAAAATAAGCCAACGATGATATTTTATGTTGCCAGTTTTAGCTAGATAACCTTTAATGAGCTAATTGTGTGCAGCTTGTTGATTGTGAGCAGGAGAACGAGCTGTAGACGGGTTTATTTCAGCTTGTTTGATTCTATGTTTTAAAAATATTCCTCACAGTTTGAAATAGGTTATAAACTTTTTACATTATTAGTTTTATTTGGGATTTTTTGTACAATACATTGCTGGTTGCTGTATCAACATGATCATGCATCAGAAATGGAAGCACAAATGGAGAGACCAATAATAAAGAAAATGTGATTGTGAAGATAAGTAATTATTTAATAGTTTTCAGTTAATAACACTGACTGCAACAAACTACTGAAGCATGAGACAAACAGGATAACGAACGTAAAAAGATATGTTGTTTTGTTCTGTGGACTCAAGTAATAAGAATAAAATTACGATATTTCAAGAACACAATGACTTTTAAAAATTAGACATTTTCCATAAAACTGCTCATTTCCACTTGCTTTATAATATTAGCATTTGCAATTTTGTTATTAAGGAATGACAAGAAATAAGAATTAACAATAACACAATTATCAATAAATAAATGTCAAAGAGTTACTAAAACAAAAATCTTATTAACCATTAAAAACTATTAAACCATTTATTTTTGGGAATTTTGTTGTATTTTCTTTTTATCTTTTATCTGTGTTCGACATGTTTATATAACGCCTGTTTAATTAACCAACATTTTTAGTGTACAGCGCCTTGTTTGGTTGTAATGCCTTGTGAATGCGCTTTATAAATAAAATTGGATTGGATTGGATTGGATTAAAGGTTAAACTGTGTTGTGTGTCCATCTTCGTGTGTTCATAGTGGCTGAGCGGAGAGCTGACCAGGAACAGCGGTGGTGGCAAATCCCAGTTGGGTCTGTGATGGAGTGATGCACGCCTGGAGTGATTGCCATCTCATCCACAGTAAGCACACACTCTCTTTCCATCTCTGTCAGATTTTTAACCTTCAAACTGAGCATGTCACACACCTCTCCTAACACACCTGGTTCCAGTTAATGGGCTGCATTTGTCTTTGCAGGGTTCTAACATCAGGCAGAGGGATACTCGTGTCCTGAAGAAACCTGTAGCCTGTTGAACCCACTGAAAAACAGAGCTGTACGGCCTTTTTGATTGTCTGTTTACTCCATTTAATGCCTCTTGTGTTTTTCATGCCTTTTTGACTTTCTGTTTCCTCCCTTAGGTTTTCCAGCTGGGTTCCCTGGTTGCATCGCTTGTTCCTTTCTCCTCCTGGCCCTGACGCCGGCTCCTCATGGCTTCCTGGGATGTCCCTCTCTCCTGATACCATCTCATGTCCCCTCTCACTTTCCCTCATCTCATTTGCCTCACTGCTGCTGCTGCTTTCCTCATTCTCTGAAATTATAATGGCACTATTAGAATAAAGAATATTTTTAAAATAAAATAAATAAAAATGTCTTAATATTTCAAAAGATTTGTACCACAGTTTACTTGAGTACAACATGTGTGGTCACTGGTCAGTGGATCAACATGCAGTGGTTCTGCTGTACTTCTCACTGCGGGGTCCTTCCTCCTCCTTGGTTCAGGGCGATGAACAAACACAGCATCAGCCCTGAGTCTCACCTTGCCTTGCCTAAGCTTAGTAAACTGTCCCTCCTCAAAATGTGCCTGTAGAGTGGTGGATTAGTTTATTTCCTGCCACGTTTAACAGTTTAATTGCAGCCTTGTGCAGTTGAGAGCAGAACATGTAGAGCCTTGATAGAAAACATTTGAGAGTGCACATTGAACTCACTGCACACAGCTTTTTGTTGTGATCTCTGGTCATGGTGAGGTTGCTCCTGCTGACTTGAGCCAACCATTTTCTTCTCTCTGTATCTTTGGGGAAGCCATAATTCTGATTCCTCCCTCAGACCGATTGCTATATGCAGCGCAGCCAACCATGGTAAGATAATCAACCTAGAAAGGGATTATTAAAATACTATTTTTGTACATTTAGAAATATTGAACTAAACAAAAAATATAGAGATGTAAAATTACATTTTAAATTTTTATCCAACCCTAAAATTAGTCATTTCAAATTTTAACCCACAGACACATTTTATTTTAACAATAATCAAAATAAAGTTATTCAAAAGAGTTTCATTATGTCTTGAGTACATTGCTCATAATTAATGATTCAGCCTATTTGTGCATATGTAATGACTAAACATAACGTTGGTAAAATGGTTTATTAAAAATGCTATTATACATGTTGTACAAGTTTGGTGTTCATTTTTTCACAGTTAGCACTTTTTTTAATCTACTGTGATGAACCATACAAGTTTACTGAAATTTTCATTGCATTTAGTTGCTATAGAAGCCAGATAAACTGGGTTATAGATGCATGTACTGTCTTCACATAAAAATATAAAGTAATGACTGTAAAATGTATTCTACTGAACATAATAGATCATCATTCAAAGCATAAACAGCTACATATTTTCTCCAAGGTAAGCTGGAGCAGAATTCTAGCTTTCAATAAACACTTTAAAATGGATATTACAACTCGAGTTTAGGGCTTCTTGTAGGACTTAAAGTTATTAAATATGCTTATATTAGAGCAGTGTGTTGCATTACTACATCAAATGTATTGCTATAATATATTATAGTAATGTATGTGGTCTAAATGTGTTTTACAGGGTGTTAGGACTGTCGTGTTCCTGTAATGTAGAACAGTCACGGGTGTTTGTCTTCCTACAAATGCTCGGAAAAATATAAATAGGCTACTTTGTGAAGGAGTTAGGACATAAACTATAATATAATATATAATATTATTCAATAATTACCACAAATCGCCAAGGGAAATGTGGTTATATTAAAGTTTTGTGATTTGTCCCACCATACGCCGTTCAAACTGACTTACGGCGCTGTGGGATGTTTGGAACTGAGAGCTCCATGAACCACGTGACCGCGGGTCGGCGAGTCCAAAGAGTGTTGTAACTCTCTTTCTACAGCTCTGACAGAACCCTGCCCTCCTCTCCCAATGATTGGACAGGAATTCGAGAAACGTGATTGGTAGCTAAGACTCATGCTCTCATTGGTTCCACCCAAGTTCCTCCCACTGGCGCTAGAATCGAGACAAAAAGATTCGTAACACTGTAGATTTGAGGTTTGTACCTGTAGAATGAAATGTGTGTTTTGAGAGTTTTGATTTCAAACTTGTACCTTGATTTTTTCAATTTGGAAGTCTGCTAGTTACAAAACGAAAGTTTCATGTTTCTGAATGAATGTTTGATGTTACAAAATGAGTAGTAAATGTACAAAATAAAAGTTTGATTTTACAAAATAAAAATACATGTACAAAATACAATGTTCCTGTTACAAAACAAGAAATACAAGTACGAATTGAGAATTACAAGTTAGAAAACTAAAGTTACAAGTTACGAATCCAAAGTTACATGTGAAGAAACATGTTCGAAGTTACAAAACTTGGTACAAGTTACACTGAATATTGTCCCAATCCTAGCTCCATACTGTTGACCATAACAACTCCACATGCTGCTCTGTAATTTCTAGATATGCAACTTCAAACCATTTAAGGATTTTTTTGTTACTGAAAACCCTTTAATGTTTAAATTAAAACCTCATCTGTTTGAAACTACAGAAATATTAACATTTTTAAAACACACACATCTTTGAGTTTATGTAGAATTGAGTTAAATTTATGTATCAACCTCGTGCTCAAACACGTAACAGAGCACCGGATCTCGTTTAAATCTGAGTACTTACGGTCTTCCCCCTTTGATCACCGTCATTGTTGTTGCTCCAGATACTCCCAACAACTAAAAAATCGTCACTTATTTTTCCCTGATTGCTTTTCTAAAACAACCCTTCGGTCTCCGTGATCCTCCGTTTCTGAGTCGCTGTCACGTCTCCTTCCTGTTTTTAAAGGGCTAAGCCACCTGCTCCCATCTGTTGACTGAACTCTGGTTGGAGGCCGCTGATTCGTTACAGGAGGGATTACCTGTCACTGATCGCGTCACTTAGCCAGACGTTCGAACGCCAGACCCCCCCC